CTAAATCATCGTCTAGAAGGAACTAAATCATGGTCTTAACTAAACCATCGTCTAGAAGGAACTAAATCATGGTCTTAACTAAACCATCGTCTAGAAGGAACTAAATCATGGTCTTAACTAAACCATCGTCTAGAAGGAACTAAATCATGGTCTAAACTAAATCATCGTCTAGAAGGAACTAAATCATGGTCTTAACTAAACCATCGTCTAGAAGGAACTAAATCATGGTCTTAACTAAATCATCGTCTAGAAGGAACTAAATCATGGTCTTAACTAAACCATCGTCTAGAAGGAACTAAATCATGGTCTTAACTAAATCATGGTCTTAGAAGCGAAATCCAAATCATGGTCTTTAAATTCAAACCATCGTCTAGAAGGAACTAAATCATGCCCAGAAGGAACCAAATCATCGTCTTAACTAAACCATCGTTCAGAAGGAACTAAATCATGGTCTTAACTAAATCATGGTCTTCAACACCAAACAAAGGTGACGTGTAAGGTAACAGCGACTCTCACCACGCCAAATAAATATTAGTTTGATGAACACTGCTGGTATATCCTGGCTCTGTTGGAGGTAAGGGCTAAACACACGCACTCTCTCTACCAGCATAACTTCACACACAGGCTCTGGAGGTGAAGAAATCTCAATGAAGACTTCAGTGGTGGTAGTGGTGCCTCTACCAGGTTCTCCATTACGAGAGCACATAGTGGCGCTAAACTAACCACTCACCATAACAGTCCCTCACCTCCAATTCATAACAGTCCCCTCACCTCCACCATAACAGTCCCTCACCCCTCCACCATAACAGTCCCTCACCCTCCAATTCATAACAGTCCCTCACCCTCCACCATAACAGTCCCTCACCCCTCCACCATAACAGTCCCTCACCCTCCACCATAACAGTCCTCACCCCTCCACCATACCAGTCCCTCACCTCCACCATAACAGTCCTCACCCTCCAATCATAAAACTGTGTCCTTGTAGGCCGCACACCGTAAACCTAACCTTCACCTCACGAGCGTCAACCCGCGACAAATATCTCACGGAAGCTGACAACTACGGCTGACAACCCACAGCTGACACCTACAATAACACGTAATAAACCACTACATACAGCCCAACACTCAGATAAACACTCCACAGAACGAATACATAACCTAACCCACAAATATAACTTAAGATTTAGGTATAAAGAACAGTTACAGTAATTACTATAACTTGTATTACTACCCTCATATATAAAAATCTGTAACCTTAATTAGTACAGCTCATAAGGACATTAACTTATGATATTGTCCTTAACTAACGCCTGTCACACACTCTGATATGTTACTGTCCAGAGTGATATCCCAGTCCCACAACAAACACTACTACCACCATAACCACCACCACAACCATCACCACAACACACTATCACCACTACCACCACCAACACACCAGTACCACAACAACCATTAACAGTACACCAAAACATCACCACAACAACAACCATCAACACACCACCATTCCACTCTACCTTCACATGGTTGAGACCAGCCACCATCTTGCATATCAGCATCATTTCTAATGGTTGCCAAGGTAAAGTTTCCTCCCAACTGATGATGGAAAACGAATTCAACACTGTACCATGGTGGTAATAGGGTCCAGCACTGTACCACCATGGCACAGGGCCAGCACTGTACCACCAAGGCACAGGGGTCCAGCACTGTACCACCAAGGTAAAGGTTCCAGCACTGTACCACCTAGGTGGTACAGGAGGTCCAGATCTGGGGTGCATCGTTTTCTGTGAAAGAATGAATGGTGGGCATTGTTTGTTTTTCTTAGGATTAAGGCAGTTTATTGCGTGTTACCCAGGTCTTGGTGGTGCCAGTTCTATTAAGAAATGGAGGCCTGAGTTATTGGCATAAAGATTACTACCGTCTGCTAAGTTGTATTTGGACGAGTGTAAAGGAGTGGACTGTATCGTTTATGTACAACAAGAACAGTGGGACCGAGAATGGAATCTTGAGGGACGCCATATAAACAGGTGAGGAGTCAGACTAATGATTATTATAACAGACATACTGCTTCCTGTTGGACAGATATGAGGGTAAACCAATTGTGGACAGGCCTCTAACGCCGTAATGTTCAAGCTGAAAGGAGGAAGGTGGTCGACAGTATCAAAGGCTTTAGAGAGGTCCAAGAATATACCGACTGTGAACTGACTGCCAAAGGAATTTAAGATGTCATTAGTAAAGGATAGCAGAGCACTCTCAGTCGACCTTCTAGCCTAAATCCAAACTGGGAGTCTGTAAAGATGCTATTGACGCTGCAGAAGGCATTTAGTCTATTACATGCCAGCTTCCAGCATTTACTCAAGGCTGGGAGGACTGACATGGGGTGTAATTCTGAAGAGACCTTTGTCCCCAGATTATTTTATATGCTGTGAATCTTAGTAATTTTCAGTTTATCCGGAAAGACACCACTAGTGAAGGAGGAGTTACAAATGTGTGTAGGAGAACAGGTAGTAAAATGGCTAAATTTCTTTAATGATGCCTCATTGGTATATTGTTCGCCTGCTGCTGCATCTTGACATTTTTACAGTAATTCATCTGCTGTGACAGGGGATAAGAATAGCTCATTATGCTGTTTGTTTTGTAGGTGTTTAAATTCCCATGGTAATCAGGATGCTTTGATTTTTGTCAACATTGATAAATAATCATTGAAGTGGTTGCAATGAGGAGGGTTCCACCACAACTGTATCATATAAATAAAAGCTGAGTAGGGGGCGAACCTGAGTGTTCCTGTTCTGAATAAATTGATGACATTGCAGGTTTTCTTACTGTCGCCTGATGCTGACTGGAGCTATTTGTATAGGTGTTCATCTGGCATTTCTAACTGCTTGAGTTACTCTATTTCTGATACTTCGGTAAGACGGCATCGAAAGTTATGGATCTTTTGCAAATTCTCTAAAGTTTGTGTTTTCTTTTGCCTATTCTGATTTCAGTTGTAATATAGAAATGGATGCAGCTTTTCACTAACTTAGTCTTGAGGAAGTATTTATCAAAGCAAGCATTGAAGATGCAAGAGAAGTTGCAGCAGTTCACGTTAGTGTCGGCCATACGCAAGATCCCAGTTGCATTCATAGTAGGTTTTTAAAAAGGAGCATGTTGTCGGTGCCGTAGTCTCTGTATTGTACTGAGACTTTATTAGACCTTTCAGATCTTGTGGCTGTCGCTATAAGAACAGCACCATCCCAACTATTGTAAAAATTATCAACAACTTCTTTACAGTCTCACTTTTGTAATGTAACTGTGCTGAAATTCGTTGTTAATTAACGCTGTCCCGTGTGTTTTGGGTCAATATTCCACAAACACCGGTAAAAGAGCCAGGGTATAAGGAAGGTAGAAGCACATGGAATAGGTGGATCAGTACTAAAATGGATTAGGTCATGGTTAACTGGTAGGAAACAAAGAGTCAGCATAAATGGATTAAAGTCAGATAGGTGCGGTCAAAAGCGGAGTTCCCCAGGGATCTGTATTAGGCCCTCTGCTATTTGTTATATTCATTAATGATCTTGATTTCATAAGAACTAGTAGGATAGTAAATTTGCAGATGATACCAAAATGGGGAGATAAATAACCAGACAGTGACTTTGAACACCTTCAAAGAGATCTAGATACCTTACATGAGTGGTCAGAGACTGGCAAATGAATTTTAATACCGATAAATGCAAGGTACTACAGATAGGGAAGACGAATACAAACGTTAAGTATAAACTAGGTAACACGGAAATAAAAACTGAGCTTAGAAAAGATCTAGGTGTATTTGTTACAACGACTTGAAACCTAGAAACAATATTAGCGTTCGCAACAAGGCAAACAGGATTCTTGGGTTCATATCTAGGTCTGCGAGTAACAGAACCGCTGACGTTATCTTGAAACTTACCTAGCATTAGTGAGGCCACACATGGATATGCGGTTCAGTTCTGGTGTCCCATAGAATGGACATAGACTTTTGGAGAGTACAAAGAAGAATGACAAAATGATCCATAATATTAGAAACCTTCCATATGAAGAAAGACTGAAAAGCTTAGGCCTACATCTTAGAGAGGCGAGTTAGGGGAGATATGATAGAGGTGTACAATGGGTAAGTGGGATTAACAAGGTAAATGGAAGATGTTCTGAAGCTCAGTAAAAATGAAATAACTAGAACAAATGTTTAAAATGATAAATTGATTCAGTATAGGCAGGCACTGGTTTGGTAATAGAGTTGTGATATGTGAATAGGCTACTGAGTGCTATAGTAGGATCGGGGACGTTAGGAGCTCAAGACTAGGGTTGAGGCACATGAAGTGCTGGGATGGTGTGAAAGGGATCTGCCCCAGTCGGCCTCCTGCAGTATCCCACTTTCTTAAGTTCTTATGTTCTTATGTATACGAAATAATCATCCAACACACTGACCATCTGTGCTGGCAGGTAGGCTCCTAGGCCTTAAACTTTATTGTCACCAGATATCCTCCCATGAAAAAATCACTTATAAAATGTTTTTCAGGCCTAAATAATTGGTTTCTTATTTTTTTGTAGAAGAATCCACTATTTTCAGTTAATGCCATGCATTTTAATAAAACTGTAAATTATTATTATTTCTTATTATCACACAGACTCGTCAAACACATGCATAAAAGATATAAAACTGTAAATTACACAAGACACCCATTCAATAATGTTTAAAGAAAACCTACCATTAATAGAGAGAGCCCTCCTAGCACTGACCAACTAAACTTATACAGTACTAACACTGACTCAACTAAACTTATAAGCAGCAATTAACACTGACTCCAACTAACCACATAGCACTAACACTGACCAACTAAGCCAACAGTACTCACCAACACTGACTCAACTAAACTTAAACAGTACTCACACAACACTGGACTAACTAAACTTAAAATAGTACTAACACTGACTCAACTAAGCTTTAAGAAAGCACTATACTCAACTAAACTTACACGGTAATTTCACATTCCTTCTAGTTTGGCAATGTCAAGATTTAGTTTGCGTAGTTTCTCTTTTCTTGGAGGAGTCGGTATTGCATGGCTCACACAGGAAGTAATGTGAGCTGGTGGAGGCCATCGTCCTGTGGAGATAAGAGGAGTGTAATTGTTACTTCCTGATGAAAACTATCACATTTATTTTCCTCAGAATTATCCTAGGATGTCCCATGAGCTCAAAGTACTTACTATGAGGAAAGAACTAGGTATACCCAGCAAGTTAAAGATAGAATAATTGAAGTCAACCTCATGATAGCCCTGAGGTTCTTTGGTGTAAGAGATCCTGATAACATTGTTTCTTAAAATTGTTAAATGTTTGAACTATGGGATCAAGTGAGCCTTGCTGATCCAAACCACAGCCACACATATGAAGATGTTTGGACTAGACCACCTGCACAAAGTTGAGACACAAACAGCGCTTCTCCCACACCCTCTGGCGTGACAGTTCCTTCGATATCACAATACCGACATACTCCACCTAAAAATGGTCATCCAAAGCATTTATCTCCAACACACCACAAATTGAGAGAGCTCTGAACACACAGCACACCTCTACAGACTGATGATATGACACACAGACCATCTACACTGATGGATCTCTTAACACCAAGCCTGTGGAGGCTGGAAGTGCTATTGTTGTAATTCCAACCTGACGGTAAGGAAAATGAGAAAGGCGTTAGAATTCAACAACTGCATCCACTCCCACAAACTGAATTAGCTGCCATACTCACAGCTATTAAATCTATTGAAACCACTGTTGGTTCGACAGTCTCATCATCACTGACTCTCTATCTCCTCATCGATATTGCCCTGACACCTCGACTCAGGGTTGCTCTTTGTCTCTGAAGCCAGGACACAAATATATGCGTGCCTTTGCTGACCGTGCTAAGGTCAACCGTTGTGATCCTCACATAGGCCTCATAAAACATGACAGAGTTGATGCCCTGCCAAACCTGCCATGTGTCTAACAGCGACACCGTTGAATACAATTTGGGTCTGTCAAAAGAAACCCTTTAAAACTGTAATTAGGAAAGAACTTTATTGATGAGTTTGACGCAGACTAGTGTAAACAGGCACTAGTCGATCCATATTTACCAGTATGAGATGTATCATGAAACATGTATATGGGATATAAGTAACAAGATCACTAGGATTAAGGGCGTTGTAACCGCCAGATTAAGGTTAGATATAAGTACCTCCAGTATGTTCCCGCTAAGATGTAAACAAGATTGTAATGTAAAAGGTAAAAATAGATAGAGCATATGGCCACACACACTTGAACACTACGTCCCGACTGTGTGTTATAGGAACCTCAGGACAGGTCCGCTAATAACTGTGTGTGAAAATCAAGCAAACACTTCATCCTCTAATGGCAAGATAGCGAACATATAGATTGTATCCACTTTTTTGCACTGAGTAACTATATCAGTTCTCATGTTCAGATTCAAATACACAATGTGCTTTCTGAATACTTCTCACGTAAATGACAGTGTGAGGCCAGACATACCGCCTCACACGCCTGTACTCACGCATTTGTGAATAAGTTACTTTATGTATAGAACTACCAAATAATGTAATTGGAAATACCGTGCAACATTCAGTGCCATAATATCCTGACAACGGGGGTTAATTAGTATGACCTGTTGTAAATTTACCTGTAATCCTTTGCGCTACCGCCACAGGATGAGTGTAAGTACACAGCAGCTACCGTAAGTGCAAAATCAAATCACGGAAGACCATATGACACCGTCTATGTTACAAGAGGCGTAACACTCACCTGAGCTGGTCAGATCTCCCATGAGATATGCGTATGTAAGTGATGCTGGCCTGCGGCACAGGGAGAGCAGTCTGGGGGACGGAAAAGGAAGAGGTTCGCGCTCTGTCAGGAAGAATGTTGATAGTGGTCTTGTCTTCTCACTGAAGCTGCCCAGACTCTCGGCTGTAAACACAAAAGATAGTACCATTACTCGTCCTGTCCGGCTCAAACCGCCATCAGAACAAACACAATCTTTACCCCTGCATAACACTGAACTACGGAGGATGGCCTCCTGTACCCCGGCCCGTATCCTCGGCCGGACTGACCACGGAGGATGGCCTCCTGTACCCTGGCCCTCTTGTACCCTCGGGCTGGACACTGACCACGGAGGATGGCCTCTCCTGTACCCTGGCCCTCCTGTACCTCGGGCCGGACACTGACCACGGAGGATGGCCCTCCTGTATCCCCGGGGCCGACACTGGACTGATGGAGGATGGGCCTCCGCATCCTGGCCCTCTTGTACCTCTGGCCGACATTGACCACGGATATGGCCCTCCTGGTACCCACCTCCTGTACCCCTGGGGGCCGGACACTGACCACGTGAGGATGGCCCTCCTGTATCCCTGGGCTGACACTGACCATTGAGGAGGCTCCTGCACCCCTGGCCCTCCCTGTGCCTGGGCCGGGACACTGACCACGGAGGAGGCCTCCTGTATCCTCGGGGCCGGGACACTGGATCACGGAGGACGGGCTCCTCCCAGTACCCTCCTGTACCCCGGAGCGACTGACCACGAGTGGGTCCTCCCATCCCTGCCGACACTGACCACGGAGGATGGCCTGTACTCCTGCCCTCTTGTACCCCCCGGGCCGGGACACTGGACCATCACGGAGGCGCCTCCTGTATCCCCGGGGGCTGACACTGGACCACGGAGGATGGCCCTCCTGTACCCTGGCCCCAGCCTCTGGGGCCGGACACTGACCACGGAGGATGGCCTCCTGTATCCCCGGGGCTGACACTGACCACGGAGTATGGGCCTCTGGGTACCCTGGCCCTCCTGTATTCCCGGAGCCGGACACTGACCACGGAGGATGGGCCCTCCTGTATCCCCGCCGACACTGACCACGGAGGATGGCCTCCTGTATCCCCGGGCCGGACACTGACCACGGAGGATGGCCTCCGTACCCCTGCCCCCAGCTCCCTGCCGGACATTGACCACGGAGGATGGCCTCTATCTCGGGGTTGACATCGGGAATGCTGGAGGATGGCCCTCCTGTACCCTGCCCTCTGGTACCCCCTGGGCCGGATTACTGACCGACGGAGGATGGCCTCCTACCCTCGGGGCGGACACTGACCACGGAGGATGGCCTCCTGTACCCTGGCCCTTGTACCCTTTCGCCGGACATTGACTGAGATGGAGGATGGCCTCTGTACCCTGGCCCTGTACCCCTGGGGCCGGACACTGACCACGGAGGATGGCCCTCCTGTACCCTGGCTCTTGGTAAAATTTCGGAGCCGGACACTGACCACGGAGGATGGCTCCTCCTGTATCCCCGGGCCGACATCGACCACGGAGGATGGCCCTCCTGTACCCCTGCCCTCCCGTACCCCGGAGCCGAAGTACCGACCACGGAGGATGGCCCTCCTGGTACCCCTGCGCGGGGCCCTCTTAAAATTTCTGGGGCCGCCGACACTGACCACGGAGGATGGCTCCTTCCTGTATCCCCGGGGCCGGACATCACCACGGAGGATGGCCCCTCCTGTACCCTGGCCCTCTTGTACCCCCGCCGGACACTGACCACGAGGATGGCCTCCTGTACCCGGCCCTCCTGTACCCTGGGGCCGGGGGACATCGGACCACGAGGATGGCCTCCTGTACCCCGCGCACCCTCTTGTACCCCGGAGCCGGACTGGACTGATTGGAGGATGGCCTCCCGTACCCTGGCCTCCTGTATCCCCGCCGACACCTGACCACGGAGGATGGCCTCCTGTACCTTGCCCTCTTGTGCCCTGAGCGGACACTGACCATTGAGGATGGCCCTCCGTATCCCTGGGCCGATACTGATCCTGTACCCTGGCCCTCCTGTAATCCCGGAGCGGACACTGACCACGGAGGATGGCTCTGTATCCCTGGGCGACACGATCTTGAGATGGCCTCCGTATCCTCGGGGCCGATTGACGGAGGATGGCCCTCCCTACTCTGCTCTTGTACCCCTGCGGCCGACACTGACCACGGAGGATGGCCTCCTGTATCCCTGGGGCCGGACACTGACCACGGAGGATGGCCCTCCCACCCTGGCCCTCTTGTACCCCCGGGGCCGGACACTGACCACGAGGATTCTCCTGTATCCCTGGGCCGGACACTGACCACGGAGGATGGCCCTCCCTGTACCCTTGCCCTCTTGTACCCCTGGGGCCGGACACTGACCACGGAGGATGGCCCCGTACCCCTGGCCCTCCTGTACCCCTGGGGGCCGGACACTGGACCACGGAGGATGGCCTCCCTGTACCTGGCCCTTGTACCCCCCTGAGCCGGACACTGACCACGGAGGATGGCCCTCCTGTATCCCTGGGGCCGGACACTGACCACGGAGGATGGCCCTCCTGTACCCTGGCCCTCTGTACCCCCGGGCCGGACACTGGACACGGAGGGATGGCCTCCTGTACCCTCTGCCCTCTTGTACCCCGGCAGACACTGAACCACGGAGATGGCCCTCCCTGTATCCCCGGGAGCCGAACTTTGACCACGGAGGATGGCCCTCTAGCACCTAGCCCTCTTGCCTGCCCCTGGGCAGACACTGACCACGGAGGATGGCCTCCTTTGCCCTGGCCCTCCTGTACCCCTGAGGGCGGACACTGACCACGGAGGATGGCCTCTGTACCTAGCCCTCTTGTACCCCCGGAGCCGAACACTGGACCACGGAGATGGCCTCCTGTACCCTGGCCCTCCTGTCCCCGGGGCGGACACTGACCACGGAGGATGGCCCTCCTGTACCCTGGCCCTCTTGTACCCCCGGAGCCGGACACTGGACCACGGAGGATGGCCTCCTGTATCCCCGGGGCCGACACTGACCACGGAGGATGGCCCTCCTGTATCCCCCGGGGCCGGACACTCGACCACGGAGGATGGCCTCCTGTACCCTAGCCTCCTGTACCCTCCCAGGGCCGGACACTGACCACGGAGGATGGCCCTCCTGTACCTGGCCCTCTTGTATCCCCGAGGCGGACACTGAACCACGGAGATGCCCTCCTGTATCCCCAGGGCAGACACTGAACCCTGGAGGATGGCCCTCCTGTACCCTAGCCCTCCTGTACCCCCGAGGCCAGACACTGACCACGGAGGATGCCCTCCCACCCTGCCCTCTTGTCCCCGGAGCCGGACACTGGACCACAGAGGATGGCCCTCCTGTACCCTGGCCTCCTGTACCCCGGAGCCGGACACTGACCACGGAGGATGCCCTCATGCCCTGGCCCTCTTGTACCCCCGGGCCGGACACTGACCACGGAGGATGGCCCTCCCATCCCCTCCTCCTGTATCCCCGGGCCGGACACTGACCACGGAGGATGGCCCTCCTGTACCCCCAGGGCCAGACACTGACCACGGAGGATGGCCTCCCATGCCTGGCCCTCCTGTACCCCAGGGCGGACACTGACCACGGAGGATGGCCCTCCTGTCCCTAGCCTCTTACCCCCGGAGCAGACACTGAACCACGGAGATGGCCCTCCTGCTGTCCCCAGGCGGACACTGGACCACGGAGGATGGCCTCCTGTACCCTGGCCTCCCTGTACCCCGGAGCGGACACTGGACCACGGAGGATGGCCTCCTGTACCCAGGGCGGACACTGACCACGGAGGATGGCCCTCCTGTACCTGGCCCTCTTGTACCCCCAGGAGCAGACACTGACCACGGAGGATGGCCCTCCTGTACCCCGGGGCGGACACTGACCACGGAGGATGGCCTCCTGTACCCCCGGGGCCAGACACTGACCACGGAGGATGGCCCTCCTGTACCCTGGCCCTCCTGTACCCCGGGCCGGACACTGGACCACGGAGGATGGCCCTCCTGTACCTGGCCTCTTGTACCCCAGGCAGACACTGACCACGGAGGATGGCCCTCCTGTATCCCCGGGGCAGACACTGACCACAGAGATAGCCCTCCTGTAACCTGGCCTCCTGTACCCCAGAGCGGACACTGACCACGGAGGATGGCCCTCTGTACCCTAGCCTCCTGTACCCCGGGGCGGACACTGGACCACGGAGAGATGGCCCTCCTGTACCCTAGCCCCTCCTGTACCCCAGGCAGACACTGACCACGGAGGATGCCCTCCTGCCTAACCCTCTTGTACCCCAGGGCAGACACTGACCACGAGATAGCCCTCCTGTATCCCCGGGGCCGACACTGACCACAGAGATGGCCCTCCTGTACCCTGGCCCTCCTGTACCCCCGGAGCCGGACACTGGACCACGGAGAGATGGCCCTCCCTGTACCCTGGCCCTCTTGTCCCCGGGCCGACACTGACCACGGAGGATGGCCCTCCTGTATCCCCGGGCCGGACACTGACCACGGAGGATGGCCCTCCTGTAACCTGGCCCTCTTGTACCCCTGGGCCGGACACTGACCACGGAGGATGGCCCTCCTGTATCCCGGGGCCGGACACTGGACCACGGAGATGGCCCCCCTGTACCCTGGCCCTCCTGTATCCCCCGGAGCCGGACACTGGACCACGGAGGATGGCCCTCCGTATCCCGGGCGACACTGAACCACGGAGATGGCCCTGTACCCCGGGGCCGGACACTGACCACGGAGATGGCCCTCCTGTACCCTGGCCCCCTGTATCCCCGGAGCCGGACACTGGACCATGGAGGATGGCCCTCCTGTATCCCAGGGCCGGACACTGGACCACGGAGGATGGCCCTCCTGTCCCTGGCCCTCCTGTATCCCCGGAGCCGGACACTGGACCACGGAGGATGGCCCTCCTGTACCCTGGCCTCCTGTCCCAGGGCCGGACACTGGACCACGGAGGATGGCCTCCTGTATCCCGGGGCCGGACACTGGACCACGGAGGATGCCCTCCTGTACCCTGGCCCTCCTGTACCCCCGGGCGGACACTGGACCACGGAGGATGGCCCTCCTGTATCCCCGGGGCCGGACACTGGACCACGGAGGATGGCCCTCCTGTATCCCGCCACCACCGGAATGGCCCTCCCTGATCCCGGGCGGACACTGACCACGGAGGATGGCCCTCCTGTACCCTGGCCATCTTGTATCCCCGGGGCCGGACACTGACCACGGAGGATGGCCTCCTGTATCCCCAGGGCCGGACACTGACCACGGAGGATGGCCCTCCTGTACCCTGGCCTCCTGTATCCCCGGGGCCGGACACTGGACCACGGAGGATGGCCCTCCTGTACCCTGGCCCTCCTGTACCCCGCAGACACTGACCACAGAGCCCCTCACCCTCCCTCCGGGCGACACGACCACGAGCCTCCTGTACCCCCGGGGCCGGACACTGGACCACGGAGGATGGCCTCCTGTACCCTGGCCTCCTGTACCCCGGGCCGAACTGACCACGGATGGCCCTCCTGTACCCTGGCCCTCCACCCCCGGGCCGACACTGACCACGGATGGCCTCCCGTACCCTGGCCCTCTTGTACCCCGGGCCGAAACTGGACCACGGAGGATGGCCCTCCTGTATCCCCGGGGCCGGACACTGACCACGGAGGATGGCCCTCCTGTACCCTGGCCTCCTGTACCCCGGGGCCGGACACTGACCACGGAGGATGGCCTCCGTACCCTGGCCCTCTTGTACCCCTGGGCCGGACACTGACCACGGAGGATGGCCCTCCCTGTACCGGGCCGGACACTGACCACGGAGGATGCCCCTCCTGTATCCCAGGCCGGACACTGACCACGAGGATGCCCTCCTATCCCGGCTGACACTGACCACGGATGCCTCTGTACCCTGCCCTCCTGTATCCCCGGGCAGACACTGACCACGGAGGATGGCCCTCCTGTACCCTAGCCCTCTGTACCCCAGGGCAGACACTGACCACGGAGGATGGCCCTCCTGTACCCCTAGCCCTCCTGTACCCCAGGGCAGACACTGACCACAGAGATGGCCCTCCTGTACCCTGTCCCCGGGCCGGACACTGGACCACGGAGGATGGCCCTCCCGTACCCCTGGCCCTCTTGTACCCCGGGGCCGGACACTGGACCACGGAGGATGGCCCTCCTGTATCCCGGGGCCGGACACTGACCACGGAGGATGGCCTCCTGTACCCTGGCCCTCCTGTACCCCCAGAGCGACACTGACCACAGAGATGGCCCCTGTATCCCGAGCGACACTGACCACGGAGATGCCCTCACCCTGGCCCTCTTGTACCTCCGGGGCGCACACTGACCACGGAGGATGGCCCTCCTGTATCCCAGGGCAGACACTGACCACGGAGGATGGCCCTCCTGTACCCTGGCCTCTTGTACCCCCGGGGCAGACACTGACCACGGAGGATGGCCTCCCTGCCCCAGGGCCGACACTGACCACGGAGGATGGCCCTCCTGTACCCTAGCCCTCTTGTACCCCAGGGCGGACACTGGACCACGAGAGATGGCCCTCCTGTATCCCCCAGGGCCGGACACTGACCACGGAGGATGCCCTCCTGTACCCCCAGGGCAGACACTGGACCACAGAGATGGCCCTCCTGTATCCCCCGGGGCCGGACACTGGACACGGAGGATGGCCTCCCTGTGTCCCCGAGCGGACACTGGACCACGGAGGATGGCCCTCCTGTACCCTGGCCTCCCCTGTATCCCCAGGGCGGACACTGGACCACGGAGGATGGCCCTCCTGTACCCCAGGGCGGACACTGACCACGGAGGATGGCCCTCCTGCCCCCCGGGCCGGACACTGACCACGGAGGATGGCCCTCCTGCACCCTGGCCTCCTGTACCCCCGGGGCCGGACACTGGACCACGGAGGATGGCCTCTTAGCCCCCGGGGCCGGACACTGGACCACGGATGGCCCTCCTGTACCCTGGCCCTCTTGTACCCCGGGGCCGGACATTGACCACGGAGGATGGCCCTCCTGTATCCCCGGGGCCGGACACTGACCACGGAGGATGGCCCTCCTGTACCCTGGCCCTCTTGTACCCCCGGGGCCGGACACTGGACCACGGAGGATGGCCCTCCTGTATCCCCGGGCCGGACACGACCACGGAGATGGCCCTCCTGTACCCCCGGGGCGGACACTGACCACGGAGGATGGCCCTCCTATCCCCAGGGCGGACACTGACCACGGAGGATGGCCCTCCTGTACCTGCCCTCTGTACCCCGGAGCCGGACACTGACCACGGAGATGGCCCTCTGTACCCCGCCCCTCTTGTACCCCAGGCGGACACTGACCACGGAGAGATGCCCTCCTGTATCCCCGGGCCGACACTGACCACGAGGATGGCCTCTGTACCTAGCCCTCCCTGTATCCCCCGGGCCGACACTGGACCACGAGGATGGCCCTCCTGACCCCCAGGGCCAGACACTGACCACGGAGGATGCCCTCCTGTATCCCGGGGCCGGACACTGGACCACGGAGGATGGCCCTCCTGTACCCTGGCCTCCTGTACCCCCGGAGCCGGACACTGGACCACGGAGGATGGCCCTCCCTGTACCCTGGCCTCTTGTACCCCGGGGCCAGACACTGGACCACGGAGGATGGCTCTCCTGTATCCCCAGGGGCCGACACTGGACCACGGAGGATGGCCTCCTGTACCCCGGGCCGGACACTGAACCACGGAGATAGCCCTCCCCTGTACCCAGGGCAGACACTGGACCACGAGAGATGGCCTCCTGTACCCTGCCCTCCCTGTACCCCCAGGGCGGACACTGAACCACGGAGGATGGCCCTCCTGTATCCCCCCAGGGGCGGACACTGACCACGGAGGATGCCCTCCCTGTACCCTGGCCCTCCTGTACCCCCAGGGCCGGACACTGAACACGGAGGATGGCCCTCCTGTACCGGCCCTCCTGTACCCCCGGGGCCGGACACAGCGAGTACACTGTACAGTATATTTCCAAGTTATGATAATCTTATTTAAAGCAGTTTTATAAGAGAATACTTCAAAATACAAGTTTAATATATTATTTCAGTGGGAAATAATATTAAAAGATGACATAATTAGTTACAAATAACCTTAGAAACATTAGTGTGTTTGTTTATGTTTTAACAAACAAGGAGGAGCTGATTGATGTATATTTAACAGGTCGAGCTTTAAACGTAGACCCTGCTGCCATCTGTGACCAAGTCCCAGGTTGATGATCTGACTTTCTGCCTCATTTACACACAATTGTAGGGTCTCAAGTGTTTCTCTTACTATTGACAACACAACATACATATATTGTTTCTCACTATTGATCATTTTTTATTCTTTATTATTATTATTATTATTATTATTATTATCATCATCTTCGCCCCTCAGGCCCTGGTGTGGGTTAGTGACCTGTGCCTCGGTGGGCTAATGGTGATGAATAAAACACATTATCAGGGCGGAGAACCAATAGGTCACATAGGCTGTACCGACGCACACACAATCGTTATTATCACTTGTACTTTTCATTATAATTTAAACTGTACTACGAGTTACTTGAATCGTTTAGTAGTGGTTATGAAGTTTTTGACTGTACATATATCTTTTACTTTATATTTAGATGTAAACCTTTGTGTGTAATATGCAGTGAGAATTTGGTTTACTCTGTGGACAATAAGTAACATGTGTAGATAAAGTCATTGAGCTGTTTTTCTCTTGACATTTGTCCTTAAGTCAGCTAAATAAATCTCACGCTCTTAGCCACCTGATATCCTTAGCTTGTGATTGGCCTAATGGTATTTACATTTGAGTCACATGACAAAATAACTTTATAATATTGTCAACAAGTTGTAGTGAGTCAGTCGAGTACAAGAGCACCAAGTAGTTTACTGTATACGGGGGCCTGTACCTGTACTGACTCCAGAGCTCCTCAACAACGACACTCACACACAGTACAGTTGGTTAGTCTACCTTCAACGTAACAACTGGCTCTTTGTGTGTAGTGAAGATTCATCCCTACCCCACATATGAAACAAGTTGACCAAAATCCTGATGAGAATTTTCAAGGGAGTTAGATTTTAGACAGACAGGCAGACACCTTATACTATCTTACCAGTTTCTAAAAGTAGGGTGAATTGGTAGTCTTTCCACCATAGCCCCAAAGCTATCGTCACACAATATAGTTTCTACACTGCGTCACACCAACACTGTCCTGCTACCGTCAACACAGAGAAGCCACCAGTCTTAATAACCTGCCGGAACACCAGTTACAGCCACACTGTTCCTCCCTCACACACACAAGTGGAGGAGCACTCAAGGTGGGGGGTGGTGGGGGTGACGACAGGTGCTGCTGAGTGTGTTGAGTGTGTTGCATCCCCCCCACCCACCCACACCCCACACCCCCTCCCTCCTGCACCTTCTGTTCTCCTTAAGATCCTCTCACACACCCTCCTTCACCTCCCCCATCCTCCCACAGCACAGGCAGAAGCCCCGATACATGACTGACTTCTTTATATTAGCCTGCAGGCCTCTTCCCCACCCCTCCCTCCCCTCACCACACACCTTCCCTCACCACCCACCCCTCACACCCACCCTCCCCTCACCACTCACCCTCCTCACCCTCACCCTCCCTCACCACTCACCCCTCCCTCACCCTCACCCTCCCTCACCCTCCACCTCCTCACCCACTCACTCTCCCTCACCACTCACCCTCCCTCACCACCCACCCTCACTGTAACCTCACACCACCTGCCTCCCTCCCTACTTCTCCACCACTCTCCCTCATGTGTTAATTTGTCTCTTAACTGTTGGTATCATTCAGAATCGAGTCTCAGTGTTAATTTTGTCTCCTAACTGGTGGTGTTAAGTGAGACTAATTAAGGTAGAGTCTCAGAATTAATTTTGTCTCCTAACTGGTTGTTAAGTGAGAGAGTATCTAGTTAAGATAAGTCTCAGTGTTAATTTTGTCTCCTTACTGGTGGTGTTAATTGAAGGTATCTAGTTAAGGTAAGTCTCAGTGTTAATTTTGCCTCCTAACTGGTGGTGTAGTGAAGATATCAGATTAAGTAGAGTCTCAGTGTTAATTTTGTCTCCTAACTGGTGGTGTTAAGTGAAGGTATCTTGTTAAGTCAAGTCTCAGTGTTAATTTTGTCTCCTAACTGGTGGTGTTAAGTGAAGGTATCTAGTTAAGGTAGTCTCTCAGTGTTAATTTTGTCTCCTAACTGGTAGTGTTAAGTGAAGGTATCTTTTAGGTCAAGTCTCAGTGTTAATTTTGTCTCCTAACTGGTGGTGTTAAGTGAAGGTATCTAGTTAAAGGTAGAGTCTCAGTGTTAATTTTGTCTCCTAACTGGTGGTGTTAAGTGAAATTATCTAGTTAGTAGTCTCTCAGTGTTAATTTTGTCTCTCCTAACTGGTGGTGTTAAGTGAAGGTATCTAGTTAAGGTAGAGTCTCAGTTAATTTTGTCTCTAACTGGTGGTGTTAAGTGAAGGTATCTAGTTAAGAGTAGAGTCTCCAGTGTTAATTTTGTCTCCTAACTGGTGGTGTTAAGTGAAGGTATCTAGTTAAGGTAGAGTCTCAGTGTTAATTTTGTCTCCTAACTGGTGGTGTTTAGTAGAGGTATCTAGTTAAGGTAGAGTCTCAGTGTTAATTTTGTCTCTAACTGGGTAGTGTTAAGTGAAGAAGTATCTAGTTAAGGTAGAGTCTCAGTGTTAATTTGTCTCCTAACTGGTGGTGTTAAGTGAAATTATCTAGTTAAGGTAGTCTCAGTGTTAATTTTGTCTCCTAACTGGTAGTGTTAAGTGAAGGTATCTAGTTAAGGTAGAGTCTCAGTGTTAATTTTGTCTCTAACTGGTGGTGTTTAGTGAGAGTATCTAGTTAAGGTAGAGACTCAGAGTTAATTTTGTCTCCTAACTGGTGGTGTTAAGTGAAGGTATCTAGTTAAGGTAGTCTCAGTGTTAATTTTTGTCTCCTAACTGGTGGTGTTAAAAAGTGAAGGTATCTAGTTAAAGGTAGAGACTCAGAGTTAATTTTGTCTCCTAACTAAGTGGTGTTTAGGTGAAGGTATCTAGTTAAGGTTAGAGTCTCAGTGTTAATTTTGTCTCTCTCCTAACTGGTGGTGTTTTAGTGAAGGTATCTAGTTAAGGTAGAGACTCAGAGTTAATTTTGTCTCCTAACTGGTGAGTGTTAAGTGAGAGTATCTAGTTAGGTAGAGTCTCGGTGTTAATTTTGTCTCCCTAACTCAGGTAATTGTTTAGTAAAGTATCCAGTTAAGAGTAGTCTCAGTGTTAATTTTGTCTCCTAACTGGTAGTGTTAAGAGTAGAGTATCTAGTTAAGGTAGAGTCTCAGAATTAATTTTTGTCTCCTAACGTTGTTAAGTGAAGGTA